AGCCTGTGCTCCGCAACGGGAGAGGCCACAACAGTGAGAGGTCCGCATAAAAAAAAAAAAAAAAAAAAAAAAAAAAATGCATTATAGGTATCCGGCCAACTCTTCACTAGTCCCGTGGAAAATTCTGAATCTCAAAATGATTTTTTTGTGGCTTTGTGTATTCCTGCACCACCTCCTCCCTGACATCAATTGCCTGGCAGATGCCAATTAAACAATTGAGTTTTATTGAATTTTCGTTGTACTTTACCATTCTCTCACATCTCCTAACTCATTCCCAAAACTGCATAAGATAAAGAATAACACTCTTATTTTCTCCATCTCACAGAGGAAAAGTTTGCCTTCGGAAGATTTTATGAATTAACCACACTGATACGTTGTTGCCCTGTGTTTTAAGATCCAGACCTTGAGAATCCTCCCACAATATTGCTAGTTGTAAGTTCCATTTAGGAAAAGAAGCTTTTGACCAAAGAAAACTGGGTAATGCATTCTGAATTTAAATAAAAATAATGTATATCTAACTATTTTGATTTATCAATAATGCTACCTACTTCTGCTGTTATATATAATGATTTAAAAGAATAAATAATTGGAGAGGATGCTGGAAAACTGTGGACCATTTTTTTTTTAAGGTCTCCTACCTAACTGATTAACAGATATCTCTTTTCACTTAGATTTACTTCAAAATAACGCATAAGCATCCAGTTATACACAGGCGCAAACGAAAACCTGAGAGTAACATGAGGTGATTTCTAGGACTGAAACTCAAACTATGCTTCAACTGTGAGTCAAGGAAAAATTAATGCGGAAGAAACCCAAATATCCAGCCTCATTTAACATCTTTAAGCCACAGCTGCAGAGATGATTCTAAACTGAGGCAAACGGAAGAGTGGATCTGCCGGGTATTGTGATAAATGTTAGAAAAGCCACCAAATAAGTTAGATTCGTTTGAGATGGCACACTAATTATTTTAAATACAAATATCCTTGGGAAACTAACATATCACGATCTTTTCTCCAACACTCCCACTATCAAATAATTTAGCTGTTTTCCTCCAACCAATAGATGAACTGAACCTCTCTGATAGGAATTTTGATTTCAAGTAGGAAATTTGGATAAGAGTGGACTTAACAGGAGGTAACAAGTTCAGGCTCTTTTAGCCAGAAGAAATATACGTGCCCAACTAGGGAGAGCTATAGAGAGCAGCGGGCACGGAGGCCAGTTTTTCACATATTATGTTACACAATTATTTTTATTATTTTTTACTTATTTTTGCTTAAGACTTGACCTGGCTCCCGAGGTTGTATCAAGAAAACTAAGGCTCAGTGCATGTGCTAATGAAAACTAATTGAAATTTCAAATTTCAGCTGGCATTAGTTTACGCTGATGACCCCAGCACAAAGGACTTCTTCCTCCTTCAAAATCCCACAGCAGAAGTTTATAACACTTCTCTTTAATTACACCTTTTTTTTTTTTTTTTTTTAATTTGGCTGCATTGGGTCTTCATTGCTGGGCTTTCTCTAGTTGCAGCCAGCGGGGGCTTCTCTTGTTGCGGAGCACGGGCTCTAGGCGCACGGGCTCACTAGTTGTGGTTCGCAGGCTCTAAAGTGCAGGCTCAGTAGTTGTGGCGCACGGGCTTAGTTGCTCCACGGCATGTGGGATATTCCCGGACCAGGGCTCGAACCCGTGTCCCCTGCACTGGCAGGTGGATTCTTAACCGCTGCAACACCAGGGAAGTCCCTACACCTAACTTTTTAATAGCACTTCCCTATCTTGGGATAATTCTTCTAGGCTATTTTACACTATTTAAATTGTCTATTTAATTTCATAGCAATAAGAGCCGTGACGTTTTTGTAAACCTTGCAACTCCTACCAAGTTGATATTTTAAAAGTCTGGGGGTGGGCTTCCCTGGTGGCGCAGTGGTTGAGAGTCCACCTGCCGATGCAGGGGACACGGGTTCGTGCCCCAGTCCGGGAAGATCCCACATGCCGCGGAGCGGCTGGGCCCGTGAGCCATGGCCGCTGAGCCTGCGCGTCCAGAGCCTGTGCTCCGCAATGGAAGAGGCCACAACAGTGAGAGGCCCGCGTACCGCAAAAAAAAAAAAAAAAAAAAAAAGTCTGGGGGTGGTGGGTGGGATGAATTGAGAGGCTGGGATTGACATATATACACTAATATGTATAAAATAGTTAACTCCACATCACCAAAGTAAGACTTGAGTTAATCACAGTTTTGGCTCTCCCAGAAATGCAATCTTAAACCAGTTAATCAGGAAACGTCTGGTCAGCACTAGTTAGGTAATCGGTTTCCTCCCCTATAGGCAAGTAACTTGGAAATAACCAACCTGCTTTTCCGCCAGTGTAGCTGCCTTTTTCCTGCTCTCCTCTGCCCGTGAAAGTCTTTCACGTTGTATAGCTCCCTGGGGCTGCTTTCTACCTCCTAGATTGGATACCGCCTGATTCGAATTGATTTTCGCTCAAATCAATTTTAAAAAATTTAAGATGCCTCAGTTTATCTTTTAACAGTTCTAGTGTCAGAAGAGAGAGTGAAGTACGATATACCCCTGACACCCCACGGCCAAGAGCAAAGAGCAAGCAAACGTGGGTACCTGCTGAGCCCTGAGCTCACGCTTCCCTGCCGGCTCTGGAGGTCATGCGCGAGTCCCCCGGATCCTAGTGTGAGCTTTCAGACTTCATGTGAGCACTTCTTTGTCCGTACTGGGTCCAGAAACTGGTCGGAGGCAGGCTGGGTCCGACTCAGAAACCGGACTGGGTCTGGGGTCGGACTGGGACTGACTTGAGCTGGACTGGGTCCCGTGTGGAGCCTCAGGTGAATCAGTTTGTTTTCCGGCTGAACAGGCAGGTTAAACTCATCAAGGATAATCTGAGCTACAGTGGCCACGGTGGAGAACTTTTCACCTAGGTAAGCGTACCCGGTTAGGAGGCGCCCTAGAAGAAAAAAGGGGGTCTCAGACAGGCACTCACCAGAGAGTGTAGAGGGAACATTATTTTTCTCCTCTACAGTTTCTGGGGACCTGGATGAGACCCGCTGGGACACCCCAACTTGCTCCAGAGCCTGCAGATGGGATCCCGGGGAAACTGGTGAAGCCGACAAAGGTTCTTACCGAAGTCAGCTCTCCCGGACCTCTGCTGCGGGGCCTGGTCGAGAGCAAGGGACAATTTCATGCTGTGCCTTCCTTTCCAAACCCAGATGGGCAGGAGAAAACAGTTGTGAGAAGGAGATCTTTGAAATGTGACTCTTGACTTAGCTTTCAGGTGCCCGCTGGTGGTGACTCTCTCATCCCCAAGGACAGCTACGCCTGCTTGTTTGTGTCCTGAGAACTTGGCTCGGCAGCTCTCAGGTTGCAAGCCCCTGAATATGGCCTGGAAGAAACGCGGGCTGCATCCCATCTGAGGCTTGGGTCATATTGACTGTTGCCAGCTCTTGGGGGGAACTGTCTGAGTCTTTCCTTTGTTTTTGGGGGTGACTCTGGATCTTGGGAGAGTAGGATCTTTTGTACCCTTTTGGGGGATACCTCTGCATCCAGGGGCTTGTTCAATACTGCCAGGAATCTACTCTCTGTCCCAGCTGATACCTGACAAGATAATTTGAAAGGATTTTTTTTTCTTTTATTAAAGTAGCTCTACAGTCATAAGTTGGCCAAACTGGAAGCTGATACTTAGAGCCTGAGAGCAACTTTTTTTTAGGTCTTCTCTAAACTAAAATGAAACTATGTACCCAGAGGGAAAGAAAAACATTCTGAAGCCTTTGTGAAAGGATTTACTAAAACATCCCAAAGACACAGAACTCTAAAATCTGAAACATAGAAATCTTTTGATTTTCATCTTAGTGGAAGATCTTCTCCCTGATATAAAGAAGCAAATTGAGGGTAAGTAGTTGGATGAGTGGGTCAGTCTCTTAATATCATTCACGTTGCAACCCAATTATTTAAGGAATTAAAAACATCTAACTTGTATTACAAATCAAGTCTTTACAGGAACAGAAATGCAGCTCTAGAAACAATTCAAAGCACACTCATCCTTTTTTTTTTTTTCCCCACCAATCCCCAAACCTCCCCAATGAGATGTCAAAAGACTTGCAGACTTTGTAAATGATCTGGACTTAAAGAACACGAGTCCTTGGGGGAACTTGCATTCTTTCTCTGTGCCTTTTGAGACGTAACTCTTCTACCTGGTCTTCTCTAGAAACCAAGGTAATTCTTATCAGAAGCGGGGGTGGGGAGGATATTTTGAAATCCAGGCCTAAGAAAAATCTTAGAAATCTCTTTCATAAAGATTAGTTAAAAGCTATCTTAACAGGTAAACATATTCTATCTGCCAGGAACACAATTTGGATCCAATGTTCTTTTATAAACTAGTGAGTTTGCATTATCATACCTGTCTCATGGCTAAAATCTTAAAATGAAAGCTATAAGGATCTGTTTGTACCTGTCTATATGTTTATAATGTCTAGGTATATTACAGATGTGTGATTTTTTTAACCTCCCAATAGTATTGCCACAATTAATTTTATAAACAGCTCTATTTTAATTGGCTTAAAGACAAACATTAAATAAATCAAGTATACTCACAGAAATATAGAAACTAACCCAAATGTTTTTCAATTTCACATGATCTAGGCTAATCTTCGGTAAACAAAACCTAATTTAAGTTTGTCACTTAATTAGAAGAGGCAAGTCTTTGGAGCTCTCAGCATTAAATATAGTACTTTTATTCTACCTCGGTTTACAGAGTCAAATAAGCTCGTTATCTCTGCTGCAGAATTTGTCAGCAAGAAAGATAACTTAAAATGATGATTAGCTGTTTAATGTCTCATGAAATTTCCAAGAGTAAATCTAATTGTTAAGAACAAGCAAATTAAATAGACGTAAAAGGTTATAAACGCACTTTTCAACAATCATTGTTTTATGGTATGTCTACTTAAAAAATAGTTCCCAGAACCTTTAATACGCTTCAGTTCACCTTTCAACAAGGTAAAGTCTCCGTTCCCCCTTTATTCAAACATTTATTAAGCACTTAATGGTGCCAGGCGTAAGGTAAAACACATTCAGAAAGGCACAGAGGAAGCTTCGTGCCCCGGAGGCGCGGGAAGGTACACTTCCCTGAGCTGGGGAGAAGGCTGATTTCTGCTTCGCCAGTGTCTCCATTTCTTTCAGCTCAGAGATGCAAAACCAGAGGACGTCCTACAAAAAGCTGTAGAGGAAAGACGACTTTAGGTAGGGTAGGAGAAAGCTAAAAGAAGCTTGGCTGTAAGCCAGGCCGCCTCACCTACACTCAAAAACCATCCCGGATCTCTGCGGCCAGGCACCCCACGGAGCACACTGTGAGCTTCGCAAACTTAGCGACTTCAACTTTTAATAAGAGGCTAACACGTTAAAATCAAACTTGAAAGCTCCCAGGGTCGTGTAAGCCAAGGCCGAGCAACTTCATACTAACTTAAGGTTGAGTAGTAAAAAAAAAAATCTCCGTAGACTTAAGAAGGACGGTAGCGTGGACACCCGGAGCCTGAGGGGCACGAAGACCTCCCGTGCTACCCAGGAGGAGGCCAAGTCTCGCGAGAGTTGAGGCGCCCGGACCGCGCCCCAAGGGATCCGGCGGAGCGGACGGGGCGGGAAGGTGGGCGGGGCGCCGGGACCCAGAGTTCCGGGTTCCCCAGCCGCGGAAGTACGGGGGCGCGGCGGCCGTCGGCTTCGTCAGGGTTATTCTTGGCGGCGGCGCGCGGCCATGGCGCGGAAGCCGAACCACCGGCTGCTGCTGCTGTCGCTGCTGCTGCTCTGCCGGGCCCCGGTGTGCAGCTCCGGCCCTCTGCCCCTGATCCTCAACACTTGGCCTTTCAGGAATGCAGCCGTAGCAGGTGCGGGGCCGGGGGCTGCGCTGCCAGAGCTCGCGGGTGGGGCGGGTCGCCGCCGACCGCACCGAGCTGCTGGGAGCCGGGAGGCGGGCCTTCCGCAGCCTCCCCTGCGGCCTTTCCCGCAGCCGCGGCGCCTCGGGCACTGGACCCTCCTCCCCGCCACTGCTGCATTTTAGATCCTCAGCGTTCTTTGTGACTCCCTCTCTGCAGCCCCGAGTCACTGTATTTTCCACCCTGCTGCCGACCCGGAGCAGTTACGGCCTTTCTGCTCAGACTCTTCCTCCAGTGGCTCCTACGCCGGCTTTTGCGTGACCTCCAGCCCTTTCCTGCCTTTCCACCTCCCCTTTGGAGCCCGTCACATCTCCCCAGTACCCTCCACTTAGGCTTCGCCGACGACTAAGTTCCCCAACAAAGCGTGGTCGCTTTACGTGTACTTTTTGTTGCTGCATGCTGACGCGCTGTATTTGCCACCTGGCAAAGGACTTCCAACCTTGGTTATACGTTAGGATCATCCTCAGAGCTTCTCAAAAGGACCCGTGCCTGGGCCCTACCTCCTGAGGTTTCCCTTTCACTGCTGGAACCAAAGTTTTTTTTTTTTTTTAAAGCTGCCTAAGTGATGTTGATTTGCAGTCAGGATTGAGAACTACCAAACTAAGATATTACCTCTTCAGGAAGACTTCCCTCATTTACTGTCTTCAAACCCAGTCTGAGTCAGGTGCCAGGCTTGCGTGCTTTGATATCATCCTGAACATACCATTACCTTGTCATTTTCTTATCCTACTTGTTTCATTCAGTTTAAGACATACTACCCTAGTAGTTTCAGACCCCTTCTCCCCCATTTGAGGCTGCTAATATAATTTTCTGGGGCTGAATTAGCTTTAGAATTTGATGGAGCTAAGTTTGTATGTTATAGGCAGTGCATATGATTCAGAGAAAAAATGAGGAAACAGGCTGTGAGAAAGAAATTCCCAGCGATAATGAGACAGAAAAGAAAGTTCAGGGCCCTGGGCTGGGAACAATTCTGTGTATGTTGTCTGAATTCAGAAGGGGGGGGAAACTTCTCTAAATATACTTTCAAGCCTGTTCTTTCAGTGGTAATGCTTATTATTTACCAATAGTGTCATTAACCCGTCAAGGAATTCTATTTTTATTAGTAAAGAAATTGACTACTTAACACCTTCCCCCCCCCCCCATTCCATGTTTGGGGCTCTGGAGAACATAGTTTAGTGTTAAAAGCATGGCCCCTGGAACCAAAATGGTTACTTTTGAATCCTGACGCTGCTGTCGACTAAGCTGTGTGACCTTGAACAAATAGCCTCTCTGGGTCTGTTTCTTCCTCTTTAAAATAAGGATAGTAATTGTACAGTACCTGAAAGATTAAATGAATTATCCACGTGAAGCCCACGTTGTAATTATTTGCTGTTATTTTGTTGTTACGGAGACTTGCTGGTATATTTTTAATAATCTGATGATGCAGAAGAAATTTACGGGGCTATGATTTCATGAATTTTCAGTTTTCCTTTTAGTAGCTTCAATTGTAACTTATAAAACTGAAGGAGAGAATACTTCTTTTCTCACACACACACACAGTAGAAACAGGTATTATTAATAAGTGAAAAAGCCCTCACTTTGCATCAGTAGCCAAAGTCTGAATTCTTCACGGTAAAGGGTTGTGTTATGTAATTCTGTCTATATCACTGACTGCTTTGCAGCACCTGATAGACGAAAATTTCAGTTTAACTTGGAGTAAATGTGCAAACAGTTTTAAAGATAGGAGTTTTCAAGCCGTTTTTGGTTTGTTGCCTTTGGCATTGGAAAAAAATGCGTGTCTGCACAAGCACTCTTGGGGTTTGATTGCCAGCGTGGAGGACGTTAGCATCTGGAGGGTCTGCGCTGGACGCGGTTGAGAGCGGCTGTGCGGCGTGTGAACAGGAGCAGTGTGACGGCACCGTGGGCTTTGGCGGCAGCCCCGACGAGTCTGGAGAGACCACCCTGGATGCCATGATCATGGACGGGTAGGAGCGCCCTGAAAAGCCTTAGTGCTCTCTGCACCTCCGCCGCAGGTTGAGTTACATGGATGGCTGATTAGTCTTCTACTGAGAGCAAGATGGACAAATATATGTGTGTTTTTAAAATTTTTATTGGGGTGGAGTTGATTTACAATGTTGTGTTAGTTTCAGGTGTACAGCAAAGTGAATCTGTTATACATATATCCACTCTTTTGTAGGTTCTTTCCCATGTAGGTCATTACAGAGTACTGAGTAGAGTTCCCTGTGCTGTACAGTAGGTCCTTATTGTTTATCTGTTTTAGATATAGTATAGTGTGTTATATGTCAATCCCAATCTCCCAATTTATCCCTCCCCCCGCAATATATAAGTTTTGATGCAGGTCAAAAGCCCTAGCATATTGTACTTGGCCTTTCCAAACACAAGGCGTTTCCCCCTCAATTAAAAGAAAGTCATGCAGCAACATGGAGGGACCTAGAGATTATCATACTAAGTGAAGTAAGTCAGAAAAAGACAAATATCGTATGATATCACTTATTTGTGGAATCTAAAAAAAACGATACAAATGAACACATTTACAAAACAGAACTAGACCCAGAGACAGAGAAAACAAACTTATGGTTACCAAAGGGGAAAGGTACAGGAGGGATAAATTAGGAGGTTGGGATTAACATTTACATACTACTATATATAAAATAGGTAAACGACAAGGACCTACTGTATAACGCAGGAAACTATACTCAATATCTTATAATAACCTATAATGGAAAAGAGTCTGAAAAAGAATATATACATATATAGAACTGGTTCACTTTGCTGGACACCTGAAACTAACACAACATTGTAAATGAACTATACCTCAATAAAAATTTTATTTTGAAAAAAAAAGAAAATCATAATCATAGTAGAAAACTATCACATTGAGGTAAGTAGTCTCCTTAGAACAGGGAGAGCCCCAAGGTACAGAAATACATCTCTGACCTGGTAAACCATCATTTACCCACCAACCACAAACGCTGTGGGTTGCCTGACCTGAAGCCTTAAAACCCCTTCCAAAAGCCATATTTAAAACGAGCCATGGGAAACTGAGAGTTTTAGTGCTCTGGGAACATAGGGGTAATAGAGTCTCTGTTCCTTAATATGCCTGAATGTGGGAATTTGTATGAACTTCATGGATGTGCCGTCACGTCTACGTCAAGACAGTGGAGTTTATCCTACAAAACACTATAGCTTGAAGTAAAGCAATTTTTAAAAAATTTGTGAACCTATAAAAATACCTTAAAAGATCTTACTGCACTTTTTTCTTGCAGTACTACCATGAACGTAGGAGCAGTGGGAGATCTTAGACGAATTAAAAACGCCATCGGGGTAGCACGAAAAGTACTGGAACACACGACACACACACTGTTAGCAGGAGAGTCAGGTATATTTTAACTGTACTCAATTTTTATGTAGGCTTGTGTCTATCGTCTTCACTGTGAAAAAAGGACTCAGTATAAAATAGTGGATAAAAGCAGACCTAAGTTCAAATTCAAGCTGTTTTACTTAATATCTATTTAACTTTGGATAAGTTACTTAACCTCTAAATTGTACTTTCTTCATGTTTAAAATAGGATTTTTAGAAACCAGTTTATTATTAATAAATGAGTAATTGCTGGAGGGAAACAGGATTCAGCATTATTTCTCTTCTTGTATTACATTTTTATGGGTGTAAGACCCAAGGCGCATAAGGTAACAGACGATGGGAACGGATGGGGTTTTGCTGTGGCAACGGCACTTTCTTGAACACCTCCCAAGGTATATACCCAGAACCATACCGTGATCTGTATTCAAAAAGATCATTCTTAACCACGTATTAGCTCACAGTTCCAGTAGGCACCCTTCCATTTTGTTGAAACAGAATGGAAAACTACCTGACAAACACAGGAGCTGTCAGTCTTTCATGGAATCCAGTGGTGCCTTTATTTGGCGTCTCAACGTTGTTTTACGCTCTGGGCATCGCACCCCAGTTAGAGTCGCGGTTGTTCCGAGGTGTCCCTTTCCTTTTGTGAAGCAGAAGCAGGGAGATTCTGGAGGGAAGGTGGGAGAGGAGAGTTGTCATCACACCGCCCATAAGGGTCTCAGCAGATCAGGGTCAGGAAGGACGTAGGGAAGTCGAGATCCAGAAACCGATGCCCGTAACACTCTTCACGTGTGAATACTCCCTTCACCATCTGTGTTTACCCCCAGGATGGCTGCGCTTCACGTACTAGACAGCTGACCCCAGCACTTCCTGTGCATACATTTTGTTTAAAAGATAATACTTAACTCATTTGCATTTTTCTTCCTCATCTCCAGCCACCAAGTTTGCCGAAAGCATGGGCTTTATCAACGAGGATTTATCTACCAATGCTTCGTGTGCTCTTCATTCAGATTGGCTGGCCTGGAATTGCCAGCCAAATTACTGGAGGGTACGTATGCATGATATTTTAAAGTTAAGTTATTTGAAAATACTACGTGACATCCCTTCCACTCTCAGTCATCCACCTGTTGCCTACAGTGCTAGTCAGCACCCTGGTTGCACTTCAGAATCAACGACTGATGCCAACTCTGGGCACAGGATGGTCTCAAAAGCTCCCCAGCTACATCCGATCCACGTCCTGAGTGGGGAACTCCCGGCCCCTGGCAGTGGTTTCAAGCTGTGAAGGTTCTGCTGTGGGAGAAGGGCTGCCTCACTCTGAACTGCTCTGCTGTGTTTCCTTGTAACAAAAGGTTCCATGTATTAAGAAAACAAAGTTTGGAAACCATTAGTCTAAAATATTTCTTATATTTTATCTATGTGAAGTATACCCAGTATCTTGCCCTTTTTTAACTTGGGGATTTATACTATTAGGTGTCTAGTATGTTACCAGGAAGATAATTTATCTTTAAGTCAATGGGACTTTGAGCCTAAATCGGTTTGTCTTTGCTATCCAGAATCCTGCTGTGGAGCGTGTTAGTCTTTTACCTGTTTCTTCGCCAAATCCTAATCACCTCTGAGTAACCAGGGAGTCACTTGAAAGAGGCCACTGCGTGAAACCAGGTCATGAGAGGCACCTGGTGCACAAATGAACAAGACATGAGTTGTAGGTTTCTTGCTTTAATACTAATCCATATCCACAACCTGAACTTATGAATTTGGATTATTTTCCTGAGCCTTTAAGATTCATAAAAGAATCTGAGAGTACAGCTTAGGATATGTTCACATGTACCTAGCTTTGAAAAATAGAAGATTTTAAAATAGATTTTGCTTTAAATTTCAGAGTAGCTCTTCTTAGGTCAGGGAACAAATTCTAAAATTTAAAAGTCATGTTCTGTACCTGATTTCTTTGAGAAATCTAAAAAAAAACCTAATCTAAAAATCTTCATTTATATTTGCCATTGTGCTGAGAATTTTTGGCATATATAGAGAAAAACTGGGGATCTTTTCCGGATAATATAAATGTCTCTTCCGTATTATATAATTCTGAGACCAGACTAGGTATTTAGTAAAATTATATCCATCTGTCCACATAAGACTTAGCTAACCTTTGGCTTTTAATTCTTATCTTTCAGTTACCCGATGTCCTTTTGGTTTCTTGCTAATGTTTGGCGATTGTACATAACTACATGCTGGTTTCTAAAATCACCCTTTCTAAAAAATAAAACTTAAATCTCGTTTACAGAATGTTATACCAGATGCTTCAAAATACTGTGGACCCTACAAACCACCTAGTATCTTAAAGCGAGATGGTTCTACTTACAAAGAAACAGGAGATAGTTACGGTCATGATACTATTGGTAATTTGCCTTCTATACCGTTTTTATGGTTAAAGTTCAGCTAGTTTTAATTGCTCTCCTGTAGTTCTTAACTTCTTTATCCTTAATCATGTACCAGAAGGTGATTTTGATTAAGTGGCAATTAAGAAAACACACACACACACACACACACACATTCTTTTCATATCATCTATATATATTTTGGCAAATTTACTTTATACATAAATCTGATGATTATTCATTTGGGGATTTTAAAATCTTTGTTTGATATTTAGTTCTTTAATAATGTTATGTTTGCCACATTCAAATGATCTTTCCAGTCATTTCCTGTAATGTTGAAAATTTCCATTAGTCTATAGCCGTGATTCTCTTTGGCATTACCTTTGAAAAAGCATTGAAAAGTGAGCAATTTGAAGTGAGGATATGGGGTGTCTACAAAATGATGCTGTTAAACGAGGTCATTAAAAAACACAGATATTACCACTGGTGTAATTTTCAATATTCCCAAGATTCCTATTGTCTTCTACCTGAAAATAATGGAAGACGATATTTATATTACCAACTGCGCAATTATTTGGTTATATTTGAGGTACACTTTAGAGTTGATACCTACAATGATTTTTTTTTTAATTTCTAGGCATGGTTGTCATCCATAAGATGGGAAATATTGCTGCTGGTACATCTACAAATGGTATAAAATTCAAAATACCTGGGTTAGTGTTTCTAAAAGACCAGATCTCGAAAATATGTAGTGAGTATCAACCAATATGTCCTAGGTGCTATGGGGATGCAAAACGCAAAGCACAACCCTACTCTCACAGCTAAGGTTATTGTGAAAGAAAATAAATTAGTAGCTGCTAAGTGCAAAGGAGAAGGTGTCTCAGCCAGGGCTGCAGAGTTTAGGGATGGTGGTGTGATCAGATTAAGCTGGGGCCATCAGGGGCCTGGAGAGAGGGGCCTGGAGAGAGGGGCTGGGAGCTGACCCTGACCCTGAGAGAGGGACCAGGGACATCCAGGCCAAGGCACTAGCAGATCCAAAGTAGCTCAGGTTCAGGGCTCCCAATGGCCAGAAACAAAACCGCACATCTGTCGGGTGCGGGGGAGGAGACCAGAGCCAGATTTCAGGGGGTCTTTAAGGATTTCTGGATTTTATTTCAAAGTAGTAGAAAAGCATGGAAGGTTTATTACAAGGAAAAACTTGAGTAAAATGTTGGCACCTGACCTAGACAGCAGGAATAGATCGTAGGTGAGGAAAACCAGTTGGAACCTGCTGAGATAATCCAGGAATGAGATGATAAAGGATGGCGGTGGTGGAACAGTCACCGTGAACCTGTGCCATCCCGCCACGTATGATGGGCTGCTGTGTGATTCTCATGTAATGAATGAATGCGGGTTTATGAAAACCTAAGTGGAAAAACTAAGGAAAGTCTATCCTCTGTATTCTGATGAAGAATTTACTTGAAACAATAGTCAGTGACTAAGTAGAAACGTCTCCTAAAAGAATTTTCTGCACTTGACTTCCCGTCCTGAATGACCGTGCTGTGCCCTCCCAAAGTCGAATAGGAGACTCGCCAATACCTGGATCTGGGGCCTACGCCGACGACACTGCAGGGGCTGCAGCAGCCACCGGGGACGGCGACATACTGATGCGCTTCCTCCCAAGGTGCGCCCTCCTACATCTGTGACTTCAGAGATCTTAGAAGGAGATATTGTCCCTCAAGAGAGAAAATAATTGTCTGTGCCGCGTGATCCGCATTTGTGTGTACGAGAGCTTTTCAGAAAGCCTGTTACCAACTCTTGGCGCCGTCCCTTTGACGATCCTAATCATTCAGATGAAGCAGCCACAGTCCTGAAACAATAACTCTGCTTACTCGCTTCGCAGATGAGAATGCTTAGGATCTATTTAAATAACTTACGTAAGGCCACTGAGTAAGGCCTGCGATAATTGATGATAAAAGTAGAAAATGCAGTCGCCGTGTACAATTAATTACTGAGAGAGAATCCTTGCAACTACATGTTTTGCGCATGCCTAGTCTTTTCCCCCGTTGACTGTAGCCCCATTTCTTACTTAAATATAACCTCTATACTTTATGACTTCAGGCTGTTTTTACTAAGTAACAGTTATTCAGCTGAAGCCCAAAATAAAAGTCCTTATCTGAAATGAGTGGGTGGATTAGTTGAAAAGGTAGACACGGTATCAAGGTTTACTGCCTTTCCTGTTGATACTCTCACAGGAGTTACCTCTTTTCACTTACATGCACTGTATTTTGTCAGTTGTGACAATTTTGATGGTTTTAGATGTCTAACCTCAATAACCAAATCTGGAGTTAGCTTATTCTCTGATACTAAAGTTCTGCCTCTGTTGAAATCAGCTACCAAGCTGTAGAATACATGAGAAGAGGAGAAGATCCCACCACAGCGTGCCGGAAAGTGATTTCAAGAATCCAGAAGTATTTCCCCAACTTCTTTGGGGCTGTGGTATGTGCTAACGTGACTGGAAGTTATGGTAAGTTTTATCTGAAATTCATATTTATGTGAACCTGCAAATGTTGATGAGGACAGTGACTTTAAAACGCTGTTGGGTATTTTAATCCTCTGTGATAGAAACAGGGACTGTACTGAGTAGGCAATGGATAAATGTTAATTGTTGTGTCAAGACCCCCAGAGTGTTAGAAGTGTACCTGAAAGTCTCCTCTGTTGACTGGCGGTGGTTAGGATCCAGTCTTTGGCTGTTCGGTCTTACCCTTGACGTCCGTCCTAAGGAAAGTTTAGCTTCGGCTCGAGTATATGCTGAGATGGGCTAACGTAGTCAGATGTTTTTATTCATTAGAAGTACGTAGGGATAAACGATCTTCCCCACTTCTCTGTTCATTATTTAAAGGTCTCAGTCATTTAGATCTCAGGGCCCCCAGGTACAAAATGTATTACCAATTAGTAAACTAAAGGCGTTAGCAGAATTATTTTCGCACTGTATTTGAGGCATGTCTTTTGCTTCATTTACTTTCCATATGAGCCCATCACAGTTTCAAAGCATTTCAAGATCAACCAGTGCCGCTCCTCATTGGTGAGGTTTCAGACGGGGAAGATACACAGCCTAGTGATCAATACAGCTCATTAGGTTAGACTGCTTATTACTGTGTTTGATCTTTTACTTCCCACAGTTTGGTATCTGAAAAACTTGTCTGAGGAATTCCATACTCTTTTTTTAAGTACTAAAATACAAGAGTCGATGTAAGTTATGGGTGGGGAGGCTTTGTGTCTAAAATAAATCAGTTTCATTGATTCCCTCTTAGGAAATAAACCTTAGAAGGCTCAACGTTAGATTTAACAGGATGTAAAAATGATAATTATATAATTGTAGATGAATTTAAAATTGACCAGCCCCTTGTATTTAAAGTAGTGGCATTAGAAGGGCTCCCTCCAGGTGTCTGAGCAGGTGAAGAAATCACTGTTGTCTGACAGAGAGCATCTTGACAAAACAAGGCTCACTTTCTACCCGTGCAGAAGCGTAGAAAAGAGCAGGGTGCCTGGGGAGGGGAGGATTATGGGTGGATGAAGGGAATGGCCTAGTCACTAGGGAAATACAGTTGTTAGTGTGTGCCTGAAAATTTTCTTTTTCTACGAAAAGGATATGAAAACATTAAAATAACAGTAGCAATGACCGCATATGTATAGGAGCAAAAAATCAGCCTATATTCTGAGGTTCAAAGAGATGGCTTTCCCACTGCCTTTCTGTCCCCTCATGGACTGTCAGCTAGTCTGCACTAAGGTGGACACACAGCCCACTTCCGTGTGGCCCGACTGACAGCAGGTACACAACAGCCAGTGTGGCGGTGGGGAAGCAATGTCTGTATTGGTTGTAAATGACATGTGCATTCTATATTTAACCAAACAACTTTTTCTCTTGGCCCCAGGTGCTGCCTGCAATAAACTTTCAACATTTACTCAGTTTCATTTCATGGTTTACAATCCTCTAAAAAGTGAGCCAACTGAGGAAAAAGTAGACTGCATCTAATCCATCTTTTCTGTCCACATCTCTACTTAAAGAAGAAAGAAACAGAGGCTGAAAAGGCTGCTCACTGTCATCGTATAACGTGCCTCATGTATTCTAAAATTCTTTGTGTAAAATAAGCACAAAAATTTTATGCTAAAAGCATTTTCACTTTCTGTATCTGAAAAATTTTTATTATCTGTTTTTCTTTAAGCTTTGTATATCCCCTGAAAATATTTGTATGTATTTTGTATATGTTTAAATTTTGAGTGATATTTGGATTTCTGCTCAGTGTTTCAAGAAATTACTACTTTGGGGATTTATTTCCATAAATAAATGATACAGTAAAGTGATATAGTAAAGCCACAAGAAATAATCTATATTTGGATACTTAAAATAATTAGAGTAGCCAAGGATTTTAGACCCAAAGAAAAAGGTAACAGTGAGTCACAGCATGGTAAGTCCTGACCGAATCTCAGTACCTTAGAGTAATATGTCTCTTATCGCTGATTATCAGTTGTACGTAATGCTCTCTTCTAGCTTGAAGAGGAAAGAATGCTGTTCATCATAAAGGTGTGTTTTGTTTAGCACGTATTAGAAAATGTGGGCCGTCTTCTGACGAGCAACTGTGTTGATTTTCTTGGGCTTCTTCCTCTGATGGTGCGCTCTCAATGTGTGAAGGTTTTTAGCCACCAAGAAAATCTCTGACCTTTTAGCTACAAATATTTAGTACTGATAATTTCTTCCGAAAATGATTTAGGGAACTTGATCTGTACTGTGGTTTTACTAATCTCTTGTGCACATGTTGGTGGTCTGAATTAGCAGTGAGTCAGTAACCCTCGTCTGCCTTGTTTTTTCTGAGCGCTCAGTCAGCCGTCTGCGGACTAGACAGGACTGTAAGTGCGCTTTCTCAGGATCATCTTTGCTTCATTACCTTCCTTTTACATCAGGAGTCATTAATAAAACTGTATGTACAATATTGTCCCCCACCTTTAGTATATCTGCTCCGTTTTTTCCTACACTCATCTTAAGATTTAATGTTCTTTGTAAGTTAGGGCTAGAAAGCTGTAGTTTTGAGAATGCCCTTAGGTCACCTGTTCTCACACCTTGTCATGTGTCATCACTGTCTGGGGAGCCTCTTCACAAATGCCCTCTGCTCTGTCCCACCCAATCAGAATCTTCACAAATGGGAACTTGAAAGCTGGACTCCGCAGCTGCTGATGGCAGCCTGAAAGCTAATAAGGAAACAGTCCCGCAGCCTCACACTCACAGAGCAGAAGGGGAAATCTGACTCTTGTGGGTTCCCCCAAGGTACATCGACTTGCTAACATCTGATACGGGGCCTTGGAACAAAGGGAAAGAAGCCAGATTTAAACTTGGAGTATATTTATATCAAGATGAAATGCCTGTTTTGTGTGTTTGCCGTCCGTTGATACGTTAGGCAGCCATGTACCACCAGAAAAATGAGTTTGAAAGTCTTCATGGCCTGTCACTCCCCAGCAAATGAGAAGTTTAGCTGATCCTGATTTATAGAATTCTGACCTGAAGTTGTTAGACATGTATATGTACACGATATACACATAAACAAAAAAAGGGTCTGTTTCCATTACCAGCACTCAGATGACTCCTTTTGGTTTCAAAAGGCAAATAATAAGCATAATGCATTTTTAATTGAGATATCATACATAGACTATAATATACTTTTAAAGCCCATAATTTTTAATTGTTGAACTTCTTTTTAAAGTGTTATTACATCTGATGCTTGGTGTTTGAATTTGGAGCTAAGAACATAATTCAACTCAGTATCTTAATGGTTTAACTTCATTTGAATTAAAAACTGATGACATAAATATGTATCTTAATTGGCTGCTAATTATGAAAATAGATTAAGACCTATTTATGTCACTTTACTGGTCGTTTTTTCAAAAAGATTCCTAGACCTTTAAAAAAGCTTCTAAAAAGGCATATTTAAATTTTTTGCTTGTTTTCTTGAGTACTATGCTATTTATGTGTTACTCAATATATACTCAAGCCCTGTCTTAGGAAGTTAAAAAGATGAGATAACAAGGTCTACAAAAATTGTTCATCTGCGAATTGTTTGTGCCCCATATGTGCTATATGATGAGTCTTTTCATATACAACCCAGGGTCGCCAGTAGTGAGGTACCATATTTCAGTATTTGGAAAAGCATAGCCGCTTGAAGGGTAACGTCATTGCCACATTCAAAATGGACATAATGGGGAAAGTTAAAGCCGCCATCGTCAACCTATTTGCTTCTGAGTTAAAGGGACAGGAAGTCATATAGTTCTAAGGCAGGGACAGTGCACTAAAGAACTGGCCAACTGACTTAAACCTGTGAGCTTTCTATGCTGTGCATTAGATGTGGTTGCTCACGTATTCTCTTTAATTAAAATTTGGTTTCTGGAATGTGGATGGTGACATATAGTAATATGAGAAAATCAGGTATTAGAGTAGATGTGGGAAAACAAGGTCCCTACCAATTGCCAGCAATCTGTCTCTCTTTCTAACTTGTGCAAAATCCTTAAACACCATAAACGTCAAAACACTTCTTTCCACTCCTAAATAAAACCAATGTCATTTGTCTTCCTCTCCTGTTCTGTTTATGGTAATAAAGGCTGATTGAAAATTAAACCAAAGAGTTAAGAATAAAAGCGATCCAAGCTCACTCAATTGAGTTCCTATGATGCTAAAGCAGTGTTGTATTGGAGACCCTTTAACCAGGGAGCCAACGGTTAAATTGTTAATGTCCTGAAATCAGCCATGTTGGGAGTATTTATACTACATATGTCAGCAAATATTACTAATTAGGGCTTGTTTTCCCCCTAGAAAGCCAGTTTACCAGCATCCCACTGGCCAAAAGTGTTTTGAGATATGTAGCATATATGTCACACACACCCACACACACATATGCATACACACACTGTCTTAGAGGAACTCTGGAACTTAATTCCCACCCTGGCTCCATCACTTACTAGCTGTATGCCCTTGAGCAATTAACTCGTTGTCTTTGTGCCTGAGTTTTCTATAAAATGGGAATGTGGATCATAACAGTACCTACTTTACCAGATTGCTGTGGAGATCTGCATAAAGTATTTAGAACAGGGTCCCACACAGAAGGTGCTCAGTAAATGGTGGCTAATATCATTGCTGTTATGTAGCCTGAAGCAAGAAACCACACTTTAAATAATATTTTGAGCAACTGTACCTGATACATCATGCATCTTACTGGACACTATTTGCATCGTATCGAGCCCCTTGACCTCTGACTCACTGCATTTACTCAGTACTGCTACTGGAAAACCACGTGTGAATATGAAGTTACCTGTGCCCATTATTCTCTGCCTGGGACCACAAAGGTGGCATCTGTACACACCTACACACTCGCCTTCCTTTTCCCACTGTATCTTCCCTGCAAGGAAAAAACACAAGGCAGGAACAGCATCAGTGAAATGTGTTCCTGAGCCTACTTAGTTATGTGTGAAATGTTGCTTGTGGGTGATTATTTCTTAATCACTGTCTGTTACTCAAAGAATGGCTTCTCACAATCCTCCTAACGTATAATAATACAAGTCAAGATGATAAACACGTGCTTATTTCCTCTCCCTCTACTGCTCTAAAATTACATTTAAAAAGAAGAATAAAGATAAAATAAGTCCACAATATCAAAGGGAATGCAAGGGGATCAGTGGAAGACATCCAGAAAATTCAGAAGATGGAAGAAAACTGTCAAAAAAGAGTGAAGGAGGTTATACCGAGAACTGGTGAAGAAAATCTGCTCATACAACTCTGGGAAGATTGAGAGTTCAGATGTCAGTAATAATACAGTTATCTAGTGAAATATAGAGTTAAAAACAAGAAAATATATATAGGAATCCCCGCTACTCTCTGCCACACGCACACACACACAGAGGTTGCACACTTTGGATAAACTTGGAGAAGGAGCTAGGAAAGCTAGCTCAAAGAGTTCCTTTTCCCAAACAAGGCACTCTGCATGCAGCGGTTAACACCATCAGCTCCTAGCTAGCTCATCCTAAAATAAGGACTGCCAATTGCCAAGCCCTGCCCATGTTCACGGAGCACAGATTGGACTTTCTGACAGTTGCCTTTTCCTTAAATATTAGATGGTAATCTAGGATTGCTGGATAGTTGAAAAAAGTCTACAAAATGAAAGCCATTTTCTCAATGTAGGAGGAATCATACATCCCAGAATGAAGCAGGAGGAAAGAGAAATAACTTGGGGACACAAGACAACAGTAAAAGAGAAAGTGCAAGAAGTATTTTCAGTGAGATTTTAAAATATAATATCCTTCAAAGAAGAACAGGATAGTATGAAAAAGGAGCAAGGTAGAGGAAAGAAAATCTTCAACAAAAAAGATAAAAAAAAAACATAGGGCAAATGAATTTCTCAATATAAATAGATACATTTCCCACAGTTTAACGTGTTCACTGATTTTGCTTCAGAGAGAAATAAAAAAAGACACATGTTCAGACGTTGTGAAGTTTCTAAACTGTTGGATAAGTTTCTAAATGCTCCCAAATAGAAGGAACATGTTGACATACAGGGAATGAGAATCAGGCTAGTGCCAGACCTTTCATCTACAAACACTGGATGCTGGAAAACGAGGAAGCAACCAGCACCTTCCTTTTTTTTTTTTTTTTCAGGAAAAATTAACACGATCAACATTAAACAATTATCAAGCAAGAGTAAGGGCTAAAATAAAGATCTCTATAGACATGTAAGATTCAGAACGTTTACTTTCCACCCATCCTGTCTTACGAAGTTACTTCAGGATATTCTCCAACAGAGTGAGCATAACATTTGGGAGGGAGATGTGGGTCCAAGGAAACAACGGCTTCCAGTTTGAGAGCTTAGTGATGGTAGTTGTACATGCTGACTGCATTTGAAAAAAATATGAGGCTAGAATAAAGTTGATTAGAAAAAGTGAGATAAAAAGCAAGAGAGGAAGAGGGGAGAGAAGGAGGAGAAAGTGAAAGAAGAGAGAGAAAGAGAAGCAGGTGGAGAAGAAAGAAGGAAGGGTGTGGAAGAGAGGGAGAGGGAGAGAGGGAGGGAGGAAATTAAGAGAAAGAAAAACTTCAGGAGAAAAAATACCTGGGAGAATCATAATACATAGAGAATATTTCCTGGCTCTACAGGTTATAATAATTGGAGCCTTCAGATAGGCTATGGGTAGGTGAAAAAAGAGACCACACACTTTGTGCCCTCCAAGTTCTCGACTGATTTTGTCAAGGATCTAGAAGTTGAGCTCAGGTGGGTGACTGATGCCGCTTCCTTTCATCCCTAACGGGCAGGCAGCTGCCAGTGGCACTCTCCACACAAAATAAGATTATGTCTAATGTGAGAAGCTTAATTTTGTTCTCTGCTGAAGCCCTTTCATATTCAGGATTTATATTACCATTTAGGAAGAAATGCCACATCTCCGAATGTGGTAAAAAGCAGAATCACTGCCCAAATGCCTTAAGCAGCACGTCTGCTTCCTATTTCACTGAATCCCCACATAACTATATCAATAGAACAAGGTAAGCACCGTTAATGATTTTCAACTATTAGAATAATGGTTTAAGCTTTAGCTCTTCCACAACACACACACAAACGCACCTTGAATGAACTTGTGGGCAGAGCTAGAGAAGCTAGTGTTAAGGTTGCAATCATCACTTCAAGTACTGGAATCCAACACAAAACTTAATCTGGTTAAAGACCAGACTGTGACTGTATACTTGTAGACATGCGTAACGGTAGAATTTAAATATAAATGATAGAAGGCAGGAGGCGGAAACGGGAAGAAAGATCACATAAAAGAGGGGGAGATATTTGTAATATTTTCATCTTACAAAGTGGAAAATCAGGAAATGAAACAAGAAACAAAGGTATAGATGTTTACGGGTAAGCAAGAAACAAAATCTACCACTATAGTGATTTAACTACAGTGAGAGGCATAAGTAGAATCTT